CAGCTATAACTGGATTGTGGCGTCTAAGCGTTCGTAGCGATGTCGGATTTGATCCTTCGATACCGGCTCTTCCTATCATTGCGAAACAGAATTCGCCAAATGTTGGATTGTTCACACACTGACAGGGAACAGAGATGGGGTTAGACTGTCGGGGGCTAGGTTAGTTTTATCCTACCGATCGGCACGTGCTTGTGGGGTGGTAGTGTATTTTATGGGCGTTGAGGCACTAAATGATGTGGGGGGGGTCACTCATATCATGGCAGCAGAAACTAGCCTCGTATTCACGGAGATAAAAGCATACTTGATAGGAAATAAAACGTACACAAATAACAGAAAAAGATGTTAAATTGTATGTTAATTTGATGCAATTTATTCATAATTTTTGTGTATATTGATATGTGTATTTTTTAGGTTACAATTGTTTCATGGTACAATAAGAGGAATTTACTTCATATTATTATAAGCCATATTACAGAGAGAATTTGGACACATGTTGCCTGCCTGGGGGTTCGTGGTGAAGAAGTTGAATTTAACGCCTTTAGGTGGAATGTCCGCATTTCCGCCAGCAAGTATTTTTGCGTGCTGGAATTATTTTTTTTATTATTTTTGATTTTTTTTCAATTTATTTTATGCAACGTTTTATGTTATTGTTTTATTTTATTTTATCTATAATTTCCATTATTACTATTAATTTATATTTTATTTTTATTTAGTTATAATAATAATAATATGCTGGTGCGACTGCACATGCGCAGGAACAAGGAATGCTGGAAAGTTAAAATTAATATTATTTTTTATATTTAAAGAGAGATAGAGTGTAAGTGGGGGAAGCAGGGAGAATCATTTTTTTCGGCAAACAAGTTGATTTTACCGGGGAAAATTACACCTTTCTTTTTTTTGATTTTGATGTCGGCATTTAGTTTTTCATCGACCCGCTTTAACTGTACTTATTTTCTTTCAGTGACCGAACAACATAAGTTTCTTTATTTGAAAAGTATCCACAAAAGACTATTTTATAATATTAGTTTTAATAGGATTTTACAGGTTCTCTGGTCTTTAGATATTTTAGTGTTGTATGAAGAACTCTCACAAGATCTTCTCGTTTTAGCTTTCTTACAAATCGTGTGTTCCGCTCGGCAGATTTCGAGCTTTGTTCATAAATATTTAAGATTTCGTATAGATCAGATTGGCACAAAGAAAACAGGAAGAATTTGAAAAAAAATCGAAGTTAGTTTATATAGTATACAAAGTTTCCTAGAAATCTCATGTCTGATAAGGAGTTACTGAATCGACAGTTGTAAACCGGTTTGAAAAATAGTTAATATTATACGAATTAGGTCAGGTAACTTGTGTTACTGTGTCTTTGCTGACAAGTGTCATTGGTAATATGTAATTCAGTACTACCTGCCATATGGCCGGGTCATCAATAACTAAAGTGATTCGTCTTTCAGTTTTTTTTTTTCTGGAGAGGAGCGTGACTAAACACCCTGTAGAATTATAAACAAAGCGTCTCAAAGGGTTAATGAACCTACCAGTAGGTTCAACAGTCATCTAGCACAATGGAGTAGACTTGGCTTCGTAGCTATATCAGCAGCCAGTAACATGGCATTTCTGGACCGAAGGTTTCTTAGACGTCCAGACAATCAACGGCCACACGGACAACGGCCAGACGGTTAACAACCAGACGGGCAACGGCCAGACGGTCAACGGCCACACGGACAATGGCCAGAGTGGAGAGTTCACTTGATTGAATCAACGGCAACATGCTCATGACCAATTTGAGATTACAAGAAACAAAACATCGACTCTAGTTTGATTTAGAGATGTATGGACTACGCTAGGTTAGTTGACTCGATATGCTTCGCATGAATAAATATTTATTCTGCTTTAAGCCCGAATACGTACAGGGAAGAGGTCGGCTACTCAGATATATTTTATGGAAATGATGATGATGATGATAATGATGATGATGCGAAAACTGAGAATCTACTGATGGAAGCATTTTATATGTTGGTGGAGTAGCCATTTAATTAGAAAATATAACTATATATTCATTTATTTTGACAAAGTAGCCATATATTTTAATATTAAAAACTATTTTATACCGACAGCATAGTATAAATTTTCTTCTTATTAAATATATAATCGTCCGATTCACACTCCTTCCCTGTTTTTTTTAAACAGGAGTGTAGTTATATTCCTTGTTCCTAGTTTATGATTGAGTTTCCCATTGCTTCTAAAGTTTTTTTCATTCTCTCTCTCTCTCTCTCTCTCTCTCTATATATATATATATATATATATATATATATATATATATATATATATATATTTGTGTGTGTGTGTGTGTGTGTAATTTCTGAAATACTAAGTAATCCGTATGGGTAAACCTAAGTAGGATAAAATCTAGAGAGCTCAATGTAAATCTAGAGCAAATAATTTATTACATGGAACCTTAAAGAAAAGTGGTCTGTTTTATTTAATATATATATATATATATATATATATATATATATATATATATATATATATATATATATATATTATTGAATCCATTGCTAGATCAGCTGCTAAGAAAGTTGTTTCACTGTGTAGTGCGGGAAAATGTTTATTTCCAGAATCTATCTTACATATGTGTAAATCTACCATTCTTTCATGCTGAGAGATAAAGCTGCCGTATTTCTATTTACCTTGAGCTCCTTGATAAAATCCAAAGAAGAATCAGCAATATTATTGGTCCTGATCTGGCATTTCAACTTCAGTCACTTTCCCACTAAGTTTGCCTCTCTGCGCCATTTCTATAAATACTTTCATGGTAATCGGTCGAATGAGCTCTTTGCTCTAGTACCTATTCTTTTTGGAATTAAGCGCAGTACTAGACTGGCATCAAGATCTCATCAATTTACTGTTGATTTGGCAAGATGTTGTCGTATGTTCTATGCTAACAGTTTCTTTTTTTTGGCACTTCTCACTTGCGCAACTTCTTCCGCCTTTATGCTTTCCAGGCAACTTTAATCTTCAAAAAATTAAATGCAGTATCAATCGCTATCTACTGTCCTTCTTATTACTATTTTCTCTTCCTGCTCATTAGTAATGTTTATGTCCTTAATTCTTTCACACCCTGTCATCCTTGGAGTCTTAGTGGCTTTAGTGCCTTGCATAAGTTGATCCCGATTTCAACATATATATATATATATATATATATATATATATATATATATATATATATATATGTGTGTGTGTATACGTGTGTGTACACATTTGTATATGTGCAGTATCAAGTGCAAGCGTAGAAATTTTATTACTATGTGAGATTGTCAAGAATGAGCATATCCATTGTTCTTTTGAAATATGTTGATGATACCATGGGGAAATTCACCCTTGAATATTTGACGAAACCTATAACACCCCGAGACATATGAATAAGTAAATATAAATCTATTCCATAGTTTGTTTTTTCATCATTTTCGGTTGTTTCGATTTCCTGAAAATTTTACCAATTTTAGCACTGTAGTTTTGACCGCAATAGTTCCAAATCAATTGTAGGTTGGAAATTCCGAACTTAATCTTAAATTTCTAATCTATTTCTATAATCTTTATTAAATCAAATATAAGAATTTTGCTAAAAATATTCTTAAGCAGACGTTCCCGATGGAAACGTTTTATTCGTAAATGAAATTCTCCACTTCTATGCCTCAATAAAATCCTTCTAGAGATAATGAAATATTTTCTGTTTATTTCTCATTTTATCAACATTTTTTCTTTCTTTTTCATTTTGCTTCGTTTTTCTATTTCATCTCCTTTTCTCCTATCATTTATTCTTTTCATCTTTCTCTCGATATTTTCTTCTATTCCGCATCTGTCTTTTTCTTTATTTATTTCCTTTTCACTGCCATCTTTTTTCTTTCTAACGTTCTTTCTTTCTTTTATTATTTCTTTCTTATTTTACCTTCTTCTTTTTTCAATCAACTTTTCTTTTACTCATATCATTCATCTTTTTTTTTTAAATTTTCCACACATTCATTTTTCGTTCTATATTTTTATTTATTTTTCGTGTTCTCTTTATTTTATTCTTCATCTATCTCTACCTCTGATTTTCCTTTTCACTGATTTCTTTCTTTCTGTTTCATATTTGCTAATATATTTTCTTTATCATTTTTCATTGGTTCTTTTTATTTGTATAGATTTCGCAATAATGTAAAATTCTAATGTATATTTTCAACTTTCACATATTGTTCGAATATCCTGAAGAATTCACAAAATGGCGTTTTACATATTTATATTCATGTGTGCCAAATAATTCCGTTCAACTTTTCTTATTTCATCTTCCTGCGCATTGAATCAGAAACAAAAGTGGAAAATTATTTCCTTAGATATGTTCTTGTAAATAGAAATTCATTCACTTCATCTTATATTATTTTATCCTTTTTGAATATGAGGAAAATGAAATGAATTGTATTAAACGTAAAAAAAATTACATGAAATAATAGATTTCCCATTAATGTTAATGATTCTGGATGAATTCCCAAAGCAGGCATCAACATCCGACAATTAAAAGATTTGAAATAATTTTTGTGTGAACTCTGATCAGAAAGTAAAGTTATAAAAAAAGTTACCACGCCTTGTGCTGACGTCATTCAAGCCAACATTTTGCGTAATTTTTTTTTTCATAATCTTCAGCAGTGGAACACGCGAGTCTTTAATACTGTACGAATCATTTTTGGACATGGGGCTGGTGTTTTGTATTCCTAAATATCTATCAATACAAATATCATGGGCTACTCAAAGTAGTGAGTTGCAGTCCAATTGCTAATGATGAGTGTAATATGAATGGAAGCGACGGTGATGATAAGGGAAGATTAGAGGGTAAAGAGGGTAGACAACAACTAATTCTTGAATTGAACAAGAAGAAAGAAGAAAAGAAGAAAGAAGAAAAGAATAGGAAAGAAGAAAAGAAAAAGAAGACAGATGAAGAAGAAAGAAGGAAAAAGAAGAACAAGAAGTCAGGAAGGAGAAGAAGAAAGTAATAACAAAGAAAAGAAGGAAAAGTAGAAAAATGAAGAAGAAAGAAGAGAAGAAGAAAGATAAAAAAAAGAACGAAACGAAGAAGAAAAAGAAATAGTAGTAGTAGTAGCAGTAGTAGTAGAAGAAGAAATAGTAGTAGTAGTAGTAGTAGAAGAAGAAGAAGAAGAAGAAGAAGAAGAAGAAGAAGAAGAAGAAGAAGAAGAAATAATAATCTCTATTAATATATATCAGCCATAATCCCATTTCATTCAGGAGGTAATTTCTTTCATATTACTAAAATCACCAAGAATCGTGTAAAAAAGAAACAAAGTGAACATCCCACCTGATACCCCGAAAAGTTAATTGGAACAGGTGTAATTCGGACAGGTGTAATTCGGACAGGTGTAATTGTCAAATGTTCAATATTATCATGCCATAATTAAAACTGATTCTTTGAGAGTTAGTTTATACAGACTTCTATTTCATAAAGATTAACTGTGTCTTTTTGGCTTGAAAGCATAATTCAAAATGTAAAATTTTTCTTTCCGTTATCGCGTTGGACTAAGTTGATATGAATCAATTAATTTATATTTTTGGTAAGAATAATTTTTATAATTGATACTCATCGATGGAAATGAAATCGTAGTAAGATTTACAACGCTCGAATGTAATCGGCACTCAATTTTCCAATATTGATATATGGTTTTACTATTTTTAATTTATGACCCGATATAATCTCTGTAAAATGCCCGGAAATTATGCATACAACTTCAGTTAATAATCTCAAGTAAAATACAAGGCGTTTTGTAGAGACCAGAAAAGGTAGTTGTTGGCCGATTCCAAATGAGGTGGATATGGTGTATGGAATATAACTGAGAGACCGAGTTATTCTTGCTGTATGCGGCGTTACGTTGGTATGGAATAGAACATATCTCTTTTAAACTAAGTGTAAAATCTAAGGTATGTCAGTGTACTTCTTATTTATTCTTAACTGCTACGGAAATTACTTATGACTCAACCAAAATCATAATTTTTGCATTTATTTTATTTTCTAAGAAACTGACTGACATAGAAAACCTCAGGGAATCTAATATAATAATTATTAAAAAATATATCTGAATTAATTACAGTTCGATCGAATGAACTATAGTTTTTTCTCCGTCATCAATTATTTAAATTGATTGCTTGTTTTAATTTAATTTAAACTAATTTGATTAAATCTATAAGCGATTCTTAAATATATTGCATTGCACACCGAAAATGTAGCATTGACGGAGTTCATTTTCTATGAATCGAATTTGATATTAACACTTCATATATTAACAGCATTACGCAAAACTATGCTCTCGTAATAAATATTAAAAGCAAAACCTATAACCATATCTTATCAATAAACGAAGTCCGACTTTATTTTCATAAGGTTTTCACATTTCACTTGTTATATTAATTCATCTGTCTGTGTATTCAATCCTATGTATTCATGTATATACATCTGGTCGTTTTACGGGTGATACTATTACTACGTACAAAATACTGACTACAATCTGATCGACTTATCGATGAGTAAACCGGTTCCCCTACTACGCTTTCTTTCATGAAGAAATAGATAGACACCCAGCAGGATCTTTTAAAAAAAGACCTCTTAAAAACCGTCTAGCTCATTTAACCTATGTATGCAGGAAGCCCTGTGATGTCACAGTATCATCGGCTTCATAGACTGAGGTGAAGGCAGGCGGTTCACGCGATGAAATCAACGGTCACGAGTCTTTGAGCAAATTGAGGTTTCACTTTGGAGGACATCATCTCTGGCTTGACTTAAAGAGGGATGGTCTACGCCAGGTATACAGCTTTCAACCCAGTTATCTAAAGGAAACTTTTCAGATGCTCAGCGGCATGGGGACCCTAGGACCACGCCCAGTCATAGGACTTATGATGATGATGCATTGAAATACTCAATGAATTTTATATGAAGATGCTCCAAGCATTTTATTGCTCATCCGACATTAAATTTAATTTCTAATTTCTAATTAGCAACGATTGGTTTATCATTTTGTTTAGACTTCACTAACGAATTGCAAAAATTATATAAAATTTACATGAAAATATTTAAATATTCTTTTCTTAATTTGCAAACGTCGTCCTGTTTTAGAAATAAATAAATTCTATGTCGTTTCAAAGAGAAGTTATTTTTTTTTATGTGATAATAAAAAATAATAAATACTCAGTTACCCGTTGCGTCTTCGAGGGAAATGATTAAGAAAATGTTTTTATAATCATGAAATATTTTTCACGGGAAAACGAGTATATACATCATAAAATGGTACAATTTCAATTATATATATATATATATATATATATATATATATATATATATATATATATATATATATGAGACCTTTCAAAATATATATGGCAAAAATGAGAAAAAAAGATCCATAAACATTTGATCAGATGTCATATAAGGCATTTCCACACAATTCGAATAAAAACTGCTGACTTGAAAGAAAATTCAAAATAACCAGGTTTAAAAAGCAAAATAAATTTTGAAATAGAAGATTGTTTTTCTAGGTAAATACAGACGTATTAACAAAAATCTACCCTGTAATATAAACGCAAATTTACAAAAAAATATGATTAATTTATTTCTACCCAACTGCAATAATATAATTATATTTTAATCAAAGCAAAATTGATCTTATGTATTAAGGTCAAATATTAAGTTTAATCAATGAAATATAAATATAACTGCAATCCTTAACAGTTTCATTCTCAGGGTGCAACTTCTTCCAGTGAAACGCTTGGGGCTTAAAATTAACCCTCAGCGATATCGTTAGCCAAGAATTAAAGTCAATTAGCCGATAGTAGTAAGAAGATTTTTATTTACGGGATTTTAACCTACTGCTATAGACAAGCGTAGTTTAATTGAGGTGTAGGCGAGATGGGAAGGGGAACAGTCTACCGAACTTTTTCTCCTTTGCATCGTTTTCCGGAGGCCCGGCTTTGTCGCTGACTTTTCGCAGGTACTGTCTAAAAAGTAATTTATCTTCATAGATAGCGGATCGAATTCAGGAATCAGAGAGCCGAGTTCAAATTCCATTTGAATACATTACGTTCACTTACGTGCTAATATCCTTGGAAAAGGTAAGAATCCTCCTCTCCCCCCTCCAGATATGCCTTGGACTGCAACTGGTCTACCCCAGAAAGAAATGGCAACCTACTGCAGGAGAAAAAAAACTGCCTCGTCACTCATGTATCGAAAGATACATGATCGCCTAAGCGTGTATCACGAATGGCAAATACCTCACTGATCTTCATTCAGCGACTTCCCTTTGCTTGGCTGTTTGCCTTGTATATTTGAAGTCCAATTCACAACACTGAGACTTCGTAGGAAAATAAATGTTCCGAATCCATTTTTGTGACAGGTGTTTTCTATTTAATAAGTTCTCATCTGATTCACATTGCATACAAAATACATCTGATATCTAACACACTAAGAATATAACCCCTCACTAGATTAGCAATTTACTTAGAAAGACTTTTACATATACAGCTATCGAAAATGGAAATACGTATCCCCACATATAAACCACAGAAAAAGACAAAGAAATTATTACATCAAATATTAACAATAAAACGAACATTGAAATTTGAAATTACAAAACTCAAAGAGAAAAGATTTTCCTATTAATGTATTTCTTCCGCTTATAGAAATGATCTTAATATCATTCGATTATAAAAATGGTCTAATATATGACTTAATGCATATGCACGAACAAATCCAACTCTATATACTTCTTTAAAAATGTACAAGCCTGAAACGACAATTTGCAAAAAGTTTGATATATAATAAAACTTTTAATTACAATATGATTTATGCAAATAAATCAAGGTTTGTAATCATCTGAAGAGCGAATGCGATTCTATCAGAAGTAGAATAGATATTTTCAGCAGCAAATTGGACAAATTTATTTCATCATATACAGTGTCAAACTAAGAAATGATCTACCTAATTAAAAAAAATGAAAATTTGGTTACGTCTTACGGTGAAGCTGTAAATATGTACTTTCCGGAATTCTATCTTTGGAAATTCAACAATGTAAAGCCTTTTGTATTTACATGAACGCATAACAATGGGAGATAGAAACCTGAACCCATCATAATATTTAAAATAAGTCATGAAAGTATCATGCGCTAATTGACAATCCAGAGTAAGATACGCATGAAAATCTACCATGTCGAATGCCCTAACACAGATTACATAAACTCTGGAGCCTTCAACTTGAAGTTTTAATGAATTTGATTTCACAATCAGAACATTGAGTTTAGGGGAGTGGTTGAAAATTATCAAAATGTCAGAGAAAATGTCAGTCAGCATGAAATCGCTAAGGAGTTTGGAATTTCATGTCACACAGAAAAACTGTGCTAATGTTAAGAGCGTTTTGGATATGACAAACGCTGGAAGACCTTCAAATTTAGACAAAGGCCAAGAGAACAAAGAAAGTTCGTGATGTTATCAGTATCCAACCCAAAGTTAACAGTATGTCAAGTAATGAATGAAATAAGCCTTATTATTAAAGTATCAGTTTATTTAGCAAGAATGATGCAACTTCAAAGTATTGCAAATGTATTCATTGCAGCAACACACATAACCAGAATTACATTGAACTGGCTGAAAAACCGATCAAAAGACTATCTTCAATGTGATAATCAAAAATGAATAAGATATATTTTCGAGGGTTGTTCAAAAGTTCTAAGCCTCAAGAAGAAGGAGTTGGAAACGAAAACAGTTTTTCACTACTTTTCAATATAGACACTCTTGACGTGAATGCACTTAGTCCAACGATGATTAAGCATTGCAATCCTATCACGGAAGGTAGCGATCTGGTTCTCCAAAAACTCCTCCACAGCACATATGACCTCGTCATTGTTTTCAAAATGGTGGCCACACAGGTGAAATTTGAGTTTAGGAAACAGGAAGAAGTCAGAAGGAGCTAAGTTTAGTGGGTAAGTGGGGGTAGGATAGTAATGCAAAGCCACAGTTTTCTGTTTCACCTAATGCAACCCGAGCATTATGAACCAGCGGGTTATCCTGGGGCAAGAACATTCCCACCCTTAGCTTCCCTCTGAATTTCGACTTGATTGATTCTGTCGGTTGTCTTAATTCTGATGCATAGTACTGTCCATGAATATTTTTTCCCTTTTCCGGATAGTTTATCATAATTACACATTCAGAATAGAAAAGCAGAAGATATCACCTTTGCAACAGGCGGTACTTGCTTGAACTTCTTCGTCAATGGAGAACCAGAATGTTTGCTTTGAATCTTTGTTTCATTTTTGAATGATGAACTCTGGTTCCTTCTTCAGTTAGTAATCCGCAGTGGAAATTCTCAGTCCGGAAGCGTATCAGGTGTGTTCTAGAAATGTCAACCCTTTTCAGCTTCTGCTCTTGTCTCATCATTCATCTTGCTAATCTGCAAGATCTCAGTTAAATCAGTATGGACCAAACCATATATAATGACTACGGACTTATCTATCAGCTGGACAGTAAGACGTCTGTCAGTTAAAAGCATAATGTGAATGTCATCAACTTGTTCATCAGTGATTGAGGTTTTTGAACGACCAGATATCTGGTCATCTTCTGTGATGTCCTTGCCTCACTTGAATTCTGCAGTCAAATTCGTCACACTTGTATGGGATGAAGAGTCGTTAGCAAGTCTCTTTTTCATGTCCTCATGGAATATCTTGGAAGTCAAACCTTTCTTTTGCAGATACTTTATGACTACTCATGTCGCCGTTTTGTCCATTTTTAAATTTGTTGCATACTCCTCCCCTTTAATTGGATCTCACCTGCACAGAAATTAAGACAAAAATCTGAATTAATTTTTCTAGTTTTCTACCGTAAATTTGATGTTCGTTTGGCATCATATCACGTCCTTATGGGTCATTTAATGCCGAAAGTTAATTTTCTTGGGGGCATTAGTAGTTTCTTTTACAAAAAAAAAATATTACTAGTAAATTATTTCCAAAATGCATTGCTGATATTTTTACTATAAAAATGTATTTTTACACTTTCATAATGTTTTGACGCTAGTGTTGGGGATTAACTATTTGCGCGCAGCTGGGAGCCTAACAGCAAATAAGAGGTGGTTCCACGCTCCTCAAAACCTCCAGCAGAGGCCTTGATTCTGGTTATAATTTATCGTCATATCGAGGACGTGCATACCTTAAAGTTATATTTTATAATATATATGTTTGTGAGGAGAGGTTGGTGAAAAATTCCTGGTCTGTCCATGAAGATATTAGAAACTTTATTTGATCGTTTAGCCAGATTTAGGGAAGCTTCCTATCTGAAAAATCTCTAGTAATTTTTCAGAAAACGAGTAAAAAAGGATTTCAATGATTTTAAAGTTTCAAAGGAAGAGAGATGAATCTACACGTTTTTCTTTTTCAATGAGCTCCACTTTAATATGACTTCTACTCAATGTATTTTTTGTATTGTCTGATTTATGTTCAAACTTAACCTTCAACAGATTGCATTATTCACTAATTCCTTTTCCACTGAAATGTTTTTCAACGTTCCTTTACTGCCGTACTTAAATTTCAGTTAGGGTCAATTTCTGTTGCCATAGCAGGATAAGACAACACTGCAACATTCTAACACTCTATTCTTCATTCATCTGAGTCAATTGCAGTGGCTGGATAAAATCTTTGCTCTGCAAGGAAAATCGCCTCCAGTATGTTAAAGGATAAGCTTTAACATAGTTGAGATGATTTATTGCGAAGATACTGTCCATAGAATTTTGGAAAAAAGAAACGCCATTAATTCTTCCTCTTTTAGTATATGCACAAATATAATAGATAAATTAATCTATAGAAATATTGTTTACAGGGTCTAATTGAGTAAGAATCAAAAGAACATCAAATTTTAGACTGCTTTCACATGAACCATCACACTGTAAGGCACGACACCTATATCGAAACTTCCATGAATTCTTCATACTTGATATTTTCAGGTCAAGTGTCAGTTGTTATCTATCGTCTTTATTCTCATAACCATCACCTTCTATCACATTGTCTACAATTCATATCACATACCTCATTCAACATTACAATTTTGGCTAGACTGAGTGACCCCCAAAACTTGCATTGAGTAAAATGTAGTAAAAATATTAGCACCATAGAACCAAATCACCCACATTATATCGATAAATTATTCGCATTGCATGAATGACTAACGTGTTAGAACCAAATAGTAAAAACCGCGTACAAAATTGTATTTAATGATGTCATTACAAGGCGTGCTTGTACTCTGTGACCAGAGTTCACACAAAAAAAATATTACGAATCATTTAGCTATCTGATGTTTATGTCTATTTTGGGAATTCAACCAGAATTATTAACATTAATGAAAAAAACTATTAGTTCCTTTTTTAAAAAATGTCATTCATTGTTATTGTTTTAGCACAATTCATTTTATTTTATTATATTGAAAAAAAGGATAAAAAGATGAAGAAATGTATGAATTTATATTTACAAAAACAGATCTAAGGGAATATTTTTCCATTTTTGTTTCTGATTCGATTCAAAGGAAGATGAAATAAAGAAAAGCTGCACTGAATTCTTTGCAAGCATTATATCAGAGATGTGGAAACATGGATTAGAGAAGAGTCCTCGTCAAGTGAAATCAGAGATGAGGAAACATGGATCAGGAAAAATAACCGAGTCAAGTAAAATCAGAGATGTGGAAACATGGATCAAAGGAGAGACTTAGGTATGCGATGTCAGAGATGTGGAAACATGGATCAAAGACGAGACTTATGTATGCGATATCAGAGATGTGGAAACATGGATCAAAGGAGAGACTTAGGTAAGCGATATCAGAGATGTGGAAACATGGATCAAAGACGAGACTTATGTATGCGATATCAGAGATGTGGAAACATGGATCAAAGGAGAGACTTAGGTAAGCGATATCAGAGATGTGGAAACATGGATCAAAGGAGAGACTTAGGTAAGCGATATCAGAGATGTGGAAACATGGATCAAAAACGGGACATGTATGCGATATCAGAGATGTGGAAACATGGATCAAAGGAGAGACTTAGGTAAGCGATATCAGAGATGTGGAAACATGGATCAAAGGAGAGACTTAGGTAAGCGATATCAGAGATGTGGAAACATGGATCAAAGGAGAGACTTAGGTAAGCGATATCAGAGATGTGGAAACATGGATCAAAAACGGGACTTATGTATGCGATATCAGAGATGTGGAAACATGGATCAAAGGAGAGACTTAGGTAAGCGATATCAGAGATGTGGAAACATGGATCAAAGGAGAGACTTAAGCAAGCGATGTCAGAGATGTGGAAACATAGATCAAAGAGAAGTCTTAGGCAAGTGATATCAGATGTGGAAATATAAATCAGAGAAGAAACCTAATCAAGTTATATCAGAGATAAGGAAACATGCAACAGAGAAGATACCTTGTCAAGTGATACGGACGTGGAAACATTGACCAGAAAAGAGACTTAGGCAAGTGATATCAGATATATGGAAACATGAATCAAGTGAAGAAACCTGATATTTGAGATGTAGAAACTTAGATCTGAGAAGATCCATAACGATGTGATATATAAATATAGATGCGAGAAAAGACATATATAAGAGATATATAAGAAAAGTGGAAATATGGGCCAGAGAAGAAGCCTAGGTACGATATAAATGTATGTTTGCAGTACTCATAGCAAGAAACAAATTTAGTTGATAGGGTAAAATATTCCATGAATCGTTCTCAATTGGCATGAGAAATATTCAGAAAATACAAGACAGAAGATGGCGAGATGAAACATTAGATTTTGCTGGTAAAAACCGATTCAGCAGATTGACAATCGTCATAGAAGGATTTTGATTGGAGTTTGTCCTACACTATACTAACAGTGGCTGCTGCTGCTGCTGACATAGGAAGATGGCTAAATTAATCTCGATCCAACGCAATTTTGTTTCTAATTCAATTCAGAGGATGGGGAAATGAGAAAAAAAAGTTACACTAAATTCTTTGGCAAACATGAATATAAACAAATGAACTGTACATGATACTCTCGAAAATCTATTGAAAACATTTCTGAAATGTTATCATATAAGCTGGAATTAAATTCTATGAATGCAAATGGAAAGAAAGAAAAACGACACAGAATATATATTTGGAAATTTGAGAGAGAAAGAAAGAAAGAATGAAAGAAGGAATTAATGAATGAAAAAAAGAAAGAAAGTGACAAGTGAAATAAAGAAAGATAGATGTACAAGAAAAGAAATAATACGTTTAAAAGAAGGAGAGAAAAATATGGACACTAAGTGATATAAAACAAATAAAGAATATAAGAGAAAAGAAAAAAAAAACTAAAACGAAAGATTGAAAATAATCGGAAAAGAAAAAGTCACGGGAAGAAAAATAAAGGAAAAACGATAGAAAGGCGAAGAATGATAAAAAAAAAATGAAGTAATAAGAAATTCTTCTTCTTTTTCTTCTTCTTTTTCTTCTTCTTCTTCTACATGCCCTATCCTTTCAGGACGTTAGTGATCATAGCACTTCCTGTACTTTGTAGTGCTTAATAAATTTGTTGTTATTGTTGTCTCCCTTAAAATTTGTTCCGCTATCCATTTACTCAGGCTCGCTTCGTAGGTTATGCGTTGTTTTCGTCTTTCCCACTGGCTTGTAGCAAATTCTCCAAGTATTCCATCCTCATTAGGTGCCCCAGAATTTTCAAGTGTCTTTTCCTAATGTAATTAATAAATGTCCATTTTGTTTTCCTTTTCTCTAAAAAAATGTAACTCAGATGTATCGTCCATGGTATACTCAACATTTCTGTTACTTCAGGTCAACTGTGAGGGTATTGTCTAGCATTTATTATCATATAGGAGGAATGATATTATATAACAGTTCTGTGCTATTTTCTATTGTTTCTAACGAAATGTTCTTTTTCCATAATACTTTGCCTGTCTATTCGAAAGCTTACTTTTGTAGAACCATATTTAAGTTGCTTCAACTCTCTTCTTCATCTTTAAAGAGATTGCCGAGAATTCACTGCCATATAGGAGAATTGATATTGCGTAACATTTCAGTACTGTTTTCTTATCTCTAACTATATTTTCCTGTTTCTTAATATTTACTTAGCTTTTAGAAGGCATATTTCGAAATTCTAGTCCGCCTTCGGATTTCAGTGTCACACTTTCCGCCCTGTGTTAAAGCAGATATTTAAATTATTGTACTTGTTTGATTTTGGCATATCCTATTTGTTATTTGTCTGATGTACTGTTCCTTTTGCTAACAACCACGAATTCTATTTTCTTGCAATCAAAGAACGAAACGAAAATGCAGAGGAAGAAAAACGAAAGAGAAAAAGAAAGAAGGATACAAAAAGAAAACTGCAGAAATGTGAAACCATCAGAAAATCTGAATATATTTCTGGAAGGATTTTCTGGCGAATTAGAAGCACAGATTTTCATTTTGAAACGGAATAAATTTCACTGTGGATGTCTACTTAAAAATATTTGTAGCAAAAACATCTTATATATGATTTAATAAAGATACAGAAATAGATTAGAATGTTAAGACTAAATTAGGAATCTGCAAGCCATCACTGATTTGGAATTATTCCGGTTACTACTGCAGTGACAAGATTAGCAACATTTTTAAAAATTGAAGAGAAGTTAAAATAATGAAAAGCAACAGATCTTTATTTATTCATTCATATTCAGTAGTGTGTTATAGGATCCGTCAAATGTTGACGGGTGAATTTCCCACCAATTCAACATTGCATCAAAATATTTCAAAACAAGAGCAGATATGATTATTCTATGACATCATTTTCTTATCGGCTTGAACTTCCAAATACATAAAGTAAGAAATTGGTAAATCTGGAGATTATATCAACTGAATCAGGTATATCAACTGTTTAAACTTTAACTTTGTCTACAAAATGACGACAATTTACGCATCGCACCCTGTATATATAATGTACATCTCAGTAGTTTTGAATAACTTTTCAGGAGAAATTTATTAATTTCAAAGAAGTATAAAACCTTAATCGCATTCAAAGTAGAATTATCAGATGTGAATGCACTTGTGGAAAGTGAAATTGTCCAGGACCAGTGTCACAGCTTCCTTCATATTTTCAGTGTCTTCAAAAAGGCTGCCCCTGTTGTGACAGGGGCCAAAAAGACACAGGGAGCAAGATGCAATCTGTAGACAGCGTAATGAACAGTTTTGAAGCCCACCTCTGTTAACACAAAACTTATAGAGATCACAGCTTCTAAATTGGGTTTGCGTCTCGACTACATTCAGAAAAAATAGTTAGCTATGACAGTGTTTAATAGGGTGCTGCCGGCTCATTCAATCTGAAATGACAGATGTTGGCAGGTCAGTTTCTTAGAATTATAGTAATGATATACTAAAATTACAATAATCTTAAACAGTTATAGCTGCCTCTCTTAAAAAAAATTGAAATTTCTGGAATACACCTCGTATGCATACACGCACATACGCACGCACACTCACACACACATACACATATATTTCAACATGACTGGAGAAAATACAGACTGCTCGGAAGTGATAGAATGTTACTAAAGTGGTATTGAATGTTACAAGTCAGTTTTCCATAATTAAACTGTTAGAACAAGATCAGAGCCTAGAGCAGTTGCCAGGGTTTGATTATACAAACCTTTAGAAGCGAACCCAGACATTATGGTATCACCAGCATAGATGTGTGTTAATAATTAGGAATTCACAAAGGCAGATTATTAATTTGAAACAAGAAGACGGGAGGATTAATGAGATAATCTTGAAAGATGGAACATTGATCAGAGACGGGACCAAGTCAAATAATAACAAAGATATGGAGACATGGATCAAAGAAGAAATCTAGATAAGCGATATCAGAGATGTGGGGCCATAAAATAGAGAATAAATATAATCAAATGAAATGAAGGAGGTTGAAATATGGATTAGAGAAAAGATCTAGTCAAGTAATATCACAAAAGGTGGAAATATGGACTAGATAAGATATAGTCGTGATATCAGAAAAGATGGAAACGTGTATTAGATAATACCTAAAGTGATACCAGAAATTATAAGACCTAGTAAAGTAATATCGGAAAAGGTGGAAACGTGGATTAAATAAGACCCAGTCAAGTGATATCAGAAAAGATGGAATCGTGGATTAGATAAGACTTTTCAATATCAGAAAATATGGAAATATGGATTAGATAAGACCTAGTCAAGTAACATCAGAAAAAAAGTCTAAATGTGGATTAGATAAGACCTAGTCAAGTAATATCAGAAAAAGTGGAAATATGGATTAGATAAGACCTACTCAAGTAATATCAGAAAAGATGGAAATATGGATTAGATAAAACCTAGTCAAGCGATGTCCGAGAGTTGGAAGCGGATTAGAGAATTGTCCTTGTCCATCGATATCAAAGGTATATAAACACGGATTAGAGAAGAAATTTAGACAAGAGTTACCATGGATGTGATAACATGAATTTGAGATACGAACTAGACAAATAATGTCATAGATGTGGCAACATGGATCAGAGAAGAGACCCAGTCAGCTGATATCAGAAATTTGAAAAATATCGATTAGAGAAATAATCCACACGAGGGAAATCAGAGATGTGTTACATGAATCAGAGTCAAGTCATACCAGAGATGCTTAAACATGGATCAGAGTAGAGACAAGTGATACCAGATATATGATAGAATTTATTAAATATGATATCTAGGCAAATGATATCCTAGATGTGACAAATTTATCCGGGAATAGAACAAATCCAGTGAAATCGGAAATGTAAAAACATGGAGTAGAGAAGAGACCTAGACCAGTGAAAACATGGATTAGCGAAAAGACCTTGTCAAGTGATATCAGACATGTGGGAACATGGATTAGATAAACCAGTGATGCCCGAGATATGGAAACTTGTATGAGAGAAAAGACACACACCAAAGATATCTGATATATGCCAACATGAATCCGAGAAGAGAAATATATGAGAGATATACAAGACTAATGGAAATATGAGCCAGAGAAGAAGTCTAGATAATAGATTTTACGTAAGTGATTAAACGATAGAAATATATATTGTTAGTATTCGTAGCAAGAGTTTAATTTTAGTTGATAGAGTAAAATATTCCATGACTACTTCCGAAATGGTACCAGAACTATTCGTGAAATATCAGACAAAAATGTCAAGATGAAATATTAGAATTTACTCGTAAAAACGAGACAGATAAAACAGATTCACAAACATTATAGAAGTATTTTGAGTGGCCTTTGTCCTACATTAGAGTAACAGTGGCTGCAACTGATGATGATATATAAGGACATATTAATAATTTCTAATGTTTGGTCAGTTGGTCAGATCTTGGGACGTAGTATGGGTCGAAAACTTTTCAGCGGCACTTGATAGTTTGTCTTTGTAGTCAATGGAAACTTGAGTTTTCAAAGACATTTGGGCGAAGACTTATAAGCGAACAATTCTTGGCTGTTCGCCTCTTTCATCAAGACTTCCTGTCCATAAATCGACCGCCAATGTATAAATGGATAATTATTCTTTTACCAAAAGAACAGAAGCATCGAGCCCTTACAGCTATTTGTATATATTCCATGACAAAATGTAAGATAACATTTCCGATGATGCACCCGACGAAGGTAGAAAATAAATTTGAGTGAGGGGAATAAAAATCCTATAAAAACAATCATTATAGAAGACGAACATCGTAAAAAGTATTAAAGTAATTTTTTTTGTTACAAAAGTACTAAGACGGATTGTAGATTTGGCGGGAAATAAGAATTATATTAGCATTGATGACAGAACAAAATAGAGACAATGGAGAAAAAAGATATCTAAAAAGCAAACAAAATAGAAGGAAGAATGGGGAAAAAAACCTGCAAGTACTTGAGAGTACAAAGAAATGAAAGGGATGGGATTGCTTTTACTGTCGTATGTACAGCAAATTTGCTGATACAAACAAAGATGGTCGTAAAAGAAAAACAAGAAGTCGAAGAACATTTGTAAAAATAGCGTAACAAAGATACGCAAAGAACTGGTCCATCTTATCAGATAATCAATAAAAAATAAAATGAAAGTCAGAAAAAAATATTCTTATGATAGGTGATTAGAAAAATAATTTTATCTCACGTACTATAGGATATCTTTTAAAATACACAATTCTAAAGAAAATAACGCGTAGTAACATAATATCGAAGCGATTATGTATATTGCGGCTCTAAATAATTTAAAAGGAAGACAACAGTAAACATTATACCATTACATCATTACCTTTTGATAAATCTCATCCAATTCTGAGTGAATTTGTTCATAAAATAAAGTGCCAGACGTATTGTATCAATCTTCTAAGAAGATGGAACGTATATTACGTGAAGTGGGTATTCAATATCATGTCATTTGCTTGAGTTTGCAAATTAACCATATTATGGCTCAACATTCGTTTCCGAGTATGCCTGCTTGCGAGGCTAGATAGTTGTAGAATTCTGAGCAGACACATTTTATGTCTGTTCAACGCAAACAGAGCGAATACTTGGATGATCTAGCGAATATACTGAAGCGACCTCACTTACAAATTTGCTTTGGAATCCTCTAATGGTTAAACGGTAAATTTTCAACATTCAACTCATGATATATATATATATATATATATATATATATATATATATGAATATGACTGAGCATAGAAGCCCAGAGGCGACAAATGCTTAAACTCAATAGTCGGGCCTGACGATTACGTTTAAGTATGAAACAGATTGTCGCCTTTGGGTGCTAAATTCAATGTCCACTTTTATATTTACACATGTTCTATCTCTGGCATTGAGCAGTTTAACATATAAATGTAGCATACCATAAAACTATATTACACACACACACACACACACACACGCACACACACACACACACATATATATATATATATATATTATGCATGTTTCATTAAAAACGACAGACAAGATACTACGGTTAAGCTTTTTATTTAATTTTTCTTGTGTTCTAACAAGAGCTTTCTTTTCTGGACAAAGGGTGTGTAAGAACTGTCCAAATTTTTTATATTTCCGAGTGCTTTCGGCTATAAACTTTAGCCATTATCAAGGACGATTCGATTTTTCAGCTGAAAAATCGATTCATCAAATATATTAACTGCATCCACTTGCAAAAAAATAATGGAAGGTTGAATAATAAAAAAGAAAAAGTCAACTCTTAACAACATTAACTACGAACAAAGCCACAATGTGCTAACCGTATTCGGAAATTAGAAACATCCCTACCACACACTAAGACATAAACAGAACGCACGCACTGAAGTAAGCTGAAAAATGGAATCATCCTTGATAATGGCTAAAGGTATAGCCGAAAGCGCTCGGAAATATAAAACATTTGGACAGTTTTTACGCACCCTTTGTCCAGAAAAGAAAGCTGTTGTTCGGATACAAGAAAAATTAAATAAAAAGCTTAACGGTAGTACCTTGTCTGTCGTTTTTAATGAAACATGCATAAAGGAAGGATTACTGCCTTTACTATATATATATATATATATATATATATATATATATATATATATATATATATATAGTTGTATATGTATATATCCTTCGTTTTGGAGTTATTAATTTTGAAGAAAGTTTACCCTATGATGACACTTGTTTTTGTATACTAGGTTACATTTGTCATTTGTGTCTAGTCTGCCTTCAACGTTCAACGTGATTAGTAGTGAGTTAATTGAAGTGTTGCGTTTACCAAAGATTGTAAAAAAATTTGTGATATACCTATATATATATATATATATATATATATATATATATATATATTGTTTTGTTTTTGGAGCATATTTGTATTTAAACAAATACAATTAAACAATTTAGACAAGTGTTCATTTATTTTCAATGAAATCCCTTCGTGATCGCGTATAAGCTTTCTTGTTTTATGATTAAAATGAGGAAGTAAGGTATTTTGTATTTACATATTCATTTTAATTTTTACCGCGTACTTCCGATATTTTCCAATATCATTATTAGTGTTTTAATGGGTAAGATAAATAATTATGTTTGTCCAAAAGAAATTTTTGCTTTAGTGATTAAATCGTTAAAAATTCAGGTCATGTAGAAAGTCACAAATTCTGATTTTAAAGAGAAATTCTACGTAATTGAATTATTACAATTGTGAATATGCTCGAGAACATAACATCAATTTCATAATTTTAAAATTTTAATGTAAGTGAGGTAACTTTGATAATATTTGAATTATTAATAGACGTTTATAATTTACTTGTTTTTAAACTGTTAGTTGTAAATTAGATATTTTTACAAAACTATATACTCTAAGTATTTCAGAACAATTTTACAATCTTTAAAATGTTGTTAAGTGTTGGTGTAATTTTTTTAACAATAGCTTCAATAATTGGTGTTTGTCTGCTTAAGAATTCTTTTAGTTTACAACACCAAGTTTAATATTGGCAAGCACCTGTTGTCCAATGCGGTTCTTAATGCTTTGATTGCTTCAGCCAGCATAGTTAAGCTGATACTGACATCTAAATTTCTAAACAACAACACCTCTTTGAAGGTTGGACAAATTGTATTTAGCAAACGAAAAGAACACAGGAACTGTGTCAAAGACAACACGAAACTTAACAGCAGGAAAACCTGATGTCACACATGCCGCCATCATGTTGGCAAATGTCTGGCTACCACTGCCTAACCATTGCAGACCCCGGATACGAAGAGAGACTGAAAAACACCAGAGCTCTAACACTTCTCTCCTTAAGTTTTATCGTGCGTTTAACAACATTCTCCGAGTAATCATTGTCGTGGAAACTAATATATATAGATATATATATATATATAGTTTTATCCTATAGACAAAAACAGTTTACTCACAACTAAGTTGAAACTTCGTTTCGGTGCTTTTCAATTGCACCTCAACTGGTGCATTTATATATTTATTTATATATTACTTTCGTTCTTATTGCCCCGGATATATATATATATATATATATATATATATATATATATATATAATTATGAAGGCGAAGACTTTAGAAATCCATGGTAATATCATCGAACCGATTCATTTCAGACCAAAAGCAGTTTCAAAAAAGAATGTATTTAAAATTTTAACAGGCACAAAACAAAATAATTAAACATAAATTATGTTTTTTTTCTTTAGATTCAATGTATTATCATATATATATATATATATATATATATATATATATATATATATATATATATATGTTGGTCTTTCTCGCTATATTCTATGCGTAGAATTATTTGGCGACTATGTTAATGCTGTAATCGTAATCTGTAATACTCGGCCCAGGGATTGAACTCACAATTATTATGCCACCATATTCAAGACCCCACATACTTTATTCCTATAGGTTAGCTGTACCTTAGTATTACTAAATAGGATAAGACGAGATAACCATAGAACTAGAACACTGGTAGATTTAATGAAGGATTCAGCTTGAATGTTACACTGATTCACACATCCCAGTAGAAGGCAACACAATGAAAATGTTGTGATTATAATAATAAAGACATTATTCCTACTTTAAATAACGGAAAAAAATATTACATTCATTTTTCACCAACTTGAATATGCAGCAAATAAAAGATGAAAATGTGTAATTAAAAATATAAGTTCTTCTTTTCATGTTTCTAAGTTTTTTAAATCAGTTAAAATAACCTTTCTAATAAAATCCGTGTTACTCGTAAAAAATAGCAGATATGAACTACCACACACACACACACACACACACACACACACACACATAATATATATATATATATATATATATATATATATATATATATATATATATAACTTTTATCCTCCCCACCTCAATTCGCTTATGCCATCACATCGCAACCAAATGGTACGCACATAATACATGGTTTTTATGTTAAATTTACTTCTGTTATTTTTTCATTTACAATTATTTGTGTTATTTTTTGAATAAACGTTTTTATACTAAAATATATAGTATAAGCATGTAAATAAGCATTCATCTTGTACTTGGAAACGAATTAATCTCTTTTATATTAATTGTGATGGGAAAATGATTCGGTTCTTGAAAAATTCGGTTTTCGAACAGTCTTTTAGAACACATTATGGTCGAGAACCAAGGTTGCTCTGCATTACGAATTCAAAAAACGGAAAAATACCTCAAGGAACAGGCAATGATATGTGAACAGAGAATTCAAAGAACATAGGAAAGTAAAATAAACTCTAACTATAAAGCCTGACTTTTCATGTATGATTTTACTTGTACTTTCAAGGAAAAAAGACCTTTCTCGTCTATTCAACAAATCTTCATTTTTACTTGGAACGTATCTTGGCTTGGATTTAAAATAAGTCTTTTGTACATGTAAAATTCTCATCTTTAACTGTTAGTAAAAGTGTTTTGTCTTCATCTGACGGCAATCAATTTTCTTTTTCTCCTGTCGTCTTTTCTGAATAGTTAAAGTTTTCCTCTTTGCATTAACAGGAAATGTTCGTCATGAAAAGCAATCTTTACTTATTCTGTATTATAAGGAATATTTAAAATTTCTCTCACTACATACTTGTTGAAATAATTACGATCAGATATTCCAGCTCAGTAGCATATTGTGTACTCACATATTTCCAACAGTATTTTCTAAGGATTTCACCCCAAGAAAGGCGGGAGTGCCACTAGCAAGCAAAGGGGTTACAGAGAGTGAGAGCAAGAGTAAAGAGGGTTGTTTGTGGAAAGGATATAGAGAAAGACGGGGATCAGGATCAAGGCATCAGAAGATGTCAATTGGCATTACATTTGAATATTTGAAGATTATCGCCATCAGGGAAGCAAGTAAGAGGAAGTGAGATCCACTGTCGAGAAGTGCGAGATAAGAAGCTGTTAGAGTAGAAGAGACAGCGACATTCAAACGTTTCGACAGTGAAAGAGTGGGACCGAAATGCACGCTTAAATTCATGCAGATGGGGTACCAGTGAAAGTAGCTTGTCAAAGCAATTGCCATGAA